GTGTGTGAGAGAGAGAGAGAGAGAGAGAGAGAGAGAGAGAGAGAGAGAGAGAGAGAGAGAGAGAGAGAGGATTGGGGGTTATGGAAAGGGGAAGTGGGAGGAGAAGGGCATCGTGACTACCCCAATCGAGAGGAAAACGGGTATTTGCTGTCGAATCGCTCGTAGAATGACTCTCACGTGGATGAAAACCTATCGTGATCACCGCATGATACACGAACGTCGTCATCGTTGGTCGATACCTGGTCTGCTAACTGATCGATTCAACCACGAAAGCTTCGCTCTCTTCTCTAAACCCGCTTGCGTATGCGGATTGATTGTCCGTGATATACTGTCGCTTACAAGCAGTAGGATTCCATCTCATCGTCCGCTGTCTTACCAGACATATTGAGGTATTGCCATGTTGCCGTGCCTGTCCGATTTTTGTTTTTCCTTCTTTTTTTGGATTGATTCGGCACTTCTGTCGATTTGCACTCCTGGTGTTGAGATGTTCTCAGGTGACTGATGGTACGGGCCCCGTCTCGTCTTATGTCCACTTCTCTCAATTGGGATCTTGACTTGATATTCCCTTTCATTTCCGTTCTCCGTTGTAACGATTACCATCATCCCTGTTTTTTTTTTCTTTTTTCTTTCTTTTTCCCATCCCCGTTTTTTCATTGGGCGTTCTGCTGTCCTTCTTTGTCAGCATTGAAGCTCTTTTTCTTCGGTGACTTTAGTTTAGCTGCGCCGTTTTTCAGTGGCCAGCCAGCTGTCGCCTGTAGGAACTCCTTCATTGAGGTTAGTGTGTGGTTAATTGGTTCGTTTTATCTTTTCCATCACCGCTGCGTGTATTCCGCGCACCGATTTTCGATTTGCAATCAGTTTTGTTCACTTTTGCTGCTCCCGCCATTTGCCTTCATCCCCCAATTTACTTAGAGAAAAGGGTTTTGCCTTATCCTCTGTCTGCACTTGCAATTGCAAGGCAACCAGTCAAATGGTCGGGGTGACGGAAGTCACGGAACTCCATCAGAAAGAACACGTGGCCAACCGACACAAACGAACATCGGCGCCGTTTTCCTCGCGTACGACTGAAGAGTCGCAATAGAAAGCGTCTCTCTGACTCGATCTCTCGAATGTTCGCTTACGAACGTCGATCTCGAGTCAGATCAAGGACGAGCAAAGACCCATACCTACCCGACACGACAATGGGATGGATTCTACAATTTCTACTGGTATTTATTTTCCGCACCGACATTGCTGTTCTAACCTCCACCACCGGGACAGTCGGTGACCATCCGGAACTGACTATCTGCTTCGTGTTCGCCTTGTCTGACTTCCGTCTTATCTTCTTCTTCTACGTCGTCTTCCTTCTTTTTCTTGTTTTTTGGTCTTTTCTTCTTGAGGTATGCAATGATTGCAATTATCTCTTTTTTTCCGATCAGGATATTGTGCTTCCTGTCTTGACTTCCTCCCAACCACGTTCTTCTGTGTGTGTGTGTGTGTGTGTGTGTGTGTGTGTGTGTGTGTGTGTGTGTGTGTTTGTGCGTGTGTGCCGTACTTTGTTCATAACCCTGCTTGCTTTCTGTACGCCTACCGTGACTGAGGAAGATTCTCGGCCTCGGGTTCCACAGTGTATTCTGCACTTTATCAATTTCTCCTCGAGGGGAGAATCTGGCGTTTCAAATAGGTAATCGTTGTGTTTTTTTTTAGTCAGACGAGTTCCGGAAGTGCTGCTGCACACAGTTGTGGACGTGAGACGAAAGAGAGGCATTGATTGACTGATGGTCAGCGCACACAGTATCGTGGTCTCCGTTTGCACAAAGATTTTGATAGCACTTTAGTCTTCACTGATCTTTCCCTTCTAACAGCTCGCCCCGCCAAAGTTGTATCCTTTGTTTTGCTTTTGTCAACAACCTACAGTCGCCCCGTCACGCATCCTTGTTTCAACGTTTTCGCTTTTCTGCTCTCTTTCTCCTCCTCCCGTGCACTGTACCTCTCTCTCTCTCTCTCTCTCTCTCTCTCTCTCTCTGTGTCTGTCTAACTCTCTCTCTCTCTTTCGAACTCGTCTTTCATCACTAGTTTCCATCCTAGCGAGTGAATAGTGTACACCTG